ATAGATAGATAGATAGATAGATAGATAGATAGATAGATAGATAGATATAGAATGAGAGATAGACAGAGAGAGAGTGTTATGGGAGATTTTTCTTCTACAAAGCAGATATCCTTGCTACAAATAGCAGTAAGTGAATAAATGAACCAACAACTGATCTGTTCCTTTGCATACTGATTTTAAAAGGCAGAATTGCTCCCACTGATCATTTATCTCCACACACTGAATTTTGAGTTTTACAAAGAGAAGGGTGGTTCAAAAAAAAAGAAAAAAAGAAAAGAACACGTGTTAGCCAATCTCTTCCAAACCAAACCAAGGTCAATTTAATAGAAAACAACATACAAAAAAAAGAACAAACACGTACAAACCGGAAAGTATTATACCCCTGCAAAGATGTTACGCTGTGAATGTTTTTTTTCAGTCAAGAAATTCCTCCCAGGGAAAAGCTGGATTTTGTCTCCCACAAGAATTACGAGTTTGGAGCATTAACATGTCTTTCTAACAATGTAACTGCAAATAGAACATTTTTCAACAAAAGATGTATATTTTCCCCAAAGCCCAAATACGGTAAATATTTTACAATTTGCTTAAGATCGTTAAGAAGGGTCTCTACAAGGAAGCCCGTCAAAGTTCCTCCAAGCTCAATATTCACCTGTGAAAAGAGTTACAAGAGAAAAACCTGAACATATTCCCAAATCAGAAAAAGCAACAGAACATTAAACTCTCTATTCTCATAGACCAGGGAGGGTCTCCAAAGTTGGCAACGTTAAGACTTCTGGACTTCACTTCCCAGAATTCACGCAAGGCTGGCTGAGGAATTCTGGGAGTCGAAACCCACCTGTCTCCAAGTTGCCAAGTTTGGAGACCTTTGTGATAAGACTGGATGACAGGGGCTGTTTTTCCAGAGGGGATCAGAATTACGAGATCCACAGAGATGCCAGCTGAAGAGGAAATGATCATGTTTGTTCTCAAGTCACGCTAGACTTCGCATCAGGATGCTGGCTTGGTAACTAGACCGTGATTACAGGGAAAACTGGCAGGAAACAGCTGCCATAATTTACTTGGGGGGGGGGGGGAATCTACAATTTGGAAACACAAATTGTTGAGGATGAAGAGTTAAAAACCACCTTGCAAAAAAAAAAAAAAAACCTTTAAGCGAATAGGTAGTCTTTGTTGACCCCCCCTACTCCTGAATAAGAAAACCTGGGAGGTGTTTGGGGTTTTTTTTGGTCATGATAATCAGAATAGAAAGGGATAATTTTAAAACCTTTAAAACCTTTAATAAGCCAACTTTAGCTACTTCTACTCCCAACCTCAGGCAATTGTTTAGGAACTATCCCTGCCTCCCAAACCTGCCTCCCGATCCTGGCTGCATTTTTGCAATGTTAACTTTAAAAAGCCAGAAAGTGGGGTCAGCACTCCATCCGGATTGGAGGTTAGAGGGAAACAGCAGAAACGCGTTTGGCTGATCAGCGCGGTGCCTTTTAATCCTAAAGAATAGGACCCATAAGTGGCTCTGGGTCAAGGAAAAGGCTAGCCAGAGTTTGATCCAGCCACAATTATCAGTTTTGTATGTAACACTAAACCTTCGGGGCAAGGGTGACCACACTTTGACAGCATTAAAACCTATGGATTTCAACTCCCAGAATAGCTGACTGGGGAATTCTGGAAGTCCACAGGCCTTAAAAGTTGCTGAGGGCGGACACCCCTGAATTACAGGTTGTGAAAATCATGGCTTGTTCAGTTGGGAACACTCCTCCCCTCCCCCAAATTCAGAATAACTACAACAAGGCAGGAATGGTGGGGCGGGATGGTCTGAGACAGGCTGCGCTTTAGCCACATCACCTAGAGCAGAGGGGTCTCCAATCTTGGCAGCTTTTAAGACTTGTGGACTTCCAACTCCCAGAATTCCTCAGCCAGCAAAGCTGAGGAATTCTGGGAGGTGAAGTTCACAAGTCTTAAAAGCTGCCACGGTTGGAGAGCCCTGACCTAGAGAGCAAACCTCAACCCCTGGTTTAACAACCCTCCGCCCATCCTGCAGATTTTTTTCCTTTTTTTTTTTCCTGCTTCTCGGCTCTTCCATTCATGGTCCTAGTCCTCATGATTGTCGTTGGAGGCGGTCTCGGTCTTGTCCTGGCGCTCGTTTTGGTTTTCCCTCTGTGCTTCGGGTGTTTTCGCCCCGGGGGCGTCGTTCTCGTGGGATGGTTTGGGAGCCTCTGGCTGCCCCTCAGCTTTGCTTTTCACCACCTCCTGAAGGTTGTACTTCCGGAAGAGAATGTAGTCCTGAACCACACTCAAGCAGCAGATGTTCTTGATGATCTCCACCACAATGGTGTATTCAGGGTGGCTCAGGTCGACCTTATTTTCTGGGTTGAGGTGGCCCACCACGCCTGCAAGGCAAGGATGGAAAGGAGGCAGGAATTATTGCCTTTGTTTGATTTCATAACTTAGTGGAATGACAGGCGTTTTGTTTTATTGTCTATGGAGATTCTCAGTCATCCAGGTCATGGTTGTCCCAAAAGTGCTTCTTTTTTTTTTTCAAGAGGCAAATGGGCTTTGTTTTTCCTTGAAGATATTTCCCTTCTCATCTGAGAAGCTTCTTCAGTTCTTCAGTCAGAATCGAAGAAGTTTATCAGATAAGAAAAGGAATGTCTTCAAGGAAAAAAAACAAAGTCCAGTTGCCTTTTTAAAAACACTTTTGAGTTTCATTCTTTTTTGTGTGTAACATTTTGTACATTCTTTTTTCTTTCTTTCCCCCCCGCCCCTTCTAGTTCTGTTGTTGAGTGTCTTTAAAAAGAAAACAATGTAAAACCAGTGTCTTTATGGGGAGGAAGAGGTGGCACCGAGCATGGTCTTAGGAAATAACGTTTGGATTGGGGATCTGCTTGAAGTTTTAAGCGTTTCATGCATTCTGAGACAACCTGGTTTTCTCCAGGCATTTTAGACAGAAATTCCCATCAACCACAAGCGTGGCCAATGGTCAGAAATCTTAGAATATAACCATGAAGTTCCCACCGAGTTCCACAGCCATGCCTGGCTCTGCAAAACATATCAAAGGCTATCCTAGTATGGAGGAATAAAAATTCCGTTTTTGTGTGGAACAGGAAAAATTGGTGATCTAAAGGGATGAAGAGAGTGCATTTCAAGTCTCCTTATTTTGCCCTTTTGGGAAATCTACTCACCCCCACTGAAAAACCAAACAGAAATAGAAGCACCAGTATTGTCATGCCCGTTAAGAGTCTGACTCTGAGGGAGAGGAGGACAGCCAACAGGGAGTGGGAGTGTGGCTCCGGAGGTTGTGGAGGAAACTGGGGAAGGGCACAGGCTGGCTGGGCATTCAGAGGAAGACCCAGGCCCATCCCCTCTTCATCCTAGGGCACGCAGGGAGGAATGGATAAGGGAGAAACGTGAATGGCATGGTCTATGGGGGAGGAAAGGGCCCTGATCCCCTTCATGGACTGCAGCTGGGAGGACTGTTTAAAAGGACAAACTGCGCTTGGGCCAGTGTTGGAAGCAAAGCGTGAAATAATTCTAGTCTTTCAGTTCTTATTTGAGTTCTGGCGTCCTTCCCAGTGTGTTTCGATATCTGTGGACATCTTCAAGCCCTTATCCTGCCTTGTCTCATTAATTGCTTCAGTGTGATTTGTGTTGTTGTTTTTTCTATTTATAATTTATATGTATTTTGAGTTTGAATGGAATTTCTTCCTTTTCGCAACTGTTTGTGGGGGACTTTTTTTCTCTAGTTAATAATTGGACCTTTGAAGCCAAGTTGAAGGAATTAAAGGGACTTCACCTGTTTTTGTGGACTTTGTTGCTTTTCTATCCCACCCTGGGTCATCACAGGTACGCTCACTTCTGAAGTGAGGTTCTAGGTGCAACTTTTAGGGTGCACTGCTTGAACCCTTGTTAGATTGCAACATCCCCACAGGAACATAAAATCTTAAACCCCAATTCTTAAACCACTGCAGATCTACCATGGATTGGGAGCTCCCCTAGAAGAGAAAAGCTGTAATAGTTTTCCCTTGTGTTTACCTGCCAGCTCTTTTATGACTTCTTCCCTGCTGAGGTGGCTGTTATTTCGCGCCTTGTAAACAATCTGGTAAGTGCCCTTCTTGGGGCTTTTGAACCAGGGCTCGAAAAAGGTCTCTGCATACTGCTTCATGTCTTCAAGGAAGGCTTTGCAGGTACCCGACACGGGCAGCATGCGCAGGATGACTCGGGTTTTCTTCTTTTTGGTGGCGTGCATGTCCTTTAGAATGTGGTGGACCAACTTCTCAGGTTCTGCAGACACACAAACGTGAGGATTCAAAGGGAAACTGTTTCAAGTGAGAAGCAGTATGCTCCGTGTTGTCAGGGTTCTGGCGGTTACCCCCATTTAAACCAAACTTCCAAAACTTAAAGATTAGGAGTAAACATGCCGGCTCTGCCTGGGTGTAGCCGACTCTGAGACACATCATTCAGTGTCATCCTTGACCCTGGTTTTCCCCCACCCCCTGGGTGTATCGTAATTCATATTCTCCAATGGGACACCTCCCTAGCCAAGAGTCATCAATCATGTTCTCCAGTTTGAATTTTTTGCAGTAGAAACTTCGGTCACCTAGTTACTATCTTTGAAAACATTTTTGGAATGCACTTTTGCTTTCTAAGCTGCCCACTGCTCCCCCCCCCTTTCTGTTGGCAACTCTAAAAAAAAAGCCATAGAAATATTTTATGAGTTGACAGGTTCCATATTTGGGTGGATAGACCGGTCTCACCAGAAAAACACTTCCAAGTGAGAAGCACCAGCCTTCTTAGAAGCACTAAGTCCTTTGACATGAGAAAGACCTACAGATAGTCCTCGGCTTATAACTGTAATGGAGCCTGCCTGTTCTGGTCATAAGTCATGGTGGTTGTAAAATCAGGTCCATCAGAGGAACGGATCCAATTTTACAACCTTTTCCTGTGTTGGTGGTTAAGCCAAGCATCAGGACATTAAGTGAATTTGCAATCATTAAACAAATGTTGCGGATGTTAAGCCAACTCATTGTTCACTATGGGGTGATTTTTGCTAAAAAAAAAAAAAAAGCAAGAGTAAAGTTTTCGGTGTGCTGGCTAGGAATTCTGGGAACTACCCAGGTTTTTAAATTGCCAAGGATGGTTGGGTCATTTTTCGTTCTTTTGTAAGTCATTTGGATTATTTTAGGGACAGCAATGTGGAAATAACATTAGGAATAAAATCGTAATCATTTTATTGGCAAACTCTTTGCACACATACCAACACCCAGCGTTCGAATAAAAACCACGTTGTTAGCACCACTTTCCACCGACTGGAACCGACGCTGCTTCTGTTCCGTGGCGGTACGGATCTGATCCACTTCTTTTTTCAAAGCTGCTTCGGCATCATCTTCCTCCTCCTCCTCCTCCTCCTGCTCCTCCTCATTCCCAGAGAGCCTGCCCTCGGTTTGCTCTGCAAACTTAGCACAGGCAAAAATACATAAATACATATTGTCTTACGACCACAAGGGAGCCCTGCAATTGTTAAGTGACCG